CGCGTACCAGAAGCCCGATCGCGACGCTCGCCCGGGAAGTCGATGCGGCCACCCGGGCGCAGGCCGTCTGGGTGTCGCCCGCGTGGGGGCACCAACGGCTCCGACTAGTAAGCTCCGACGCTGCGCGCCCTCGCCTGCCTGACTGACTGACCGCGCACACCTGTCTGCGTCTGCCGCGTCCCCCAGCTACCTCTGCTTTCGCAGCAAAACTTTGCGCACCGCCGTCTACACCGCCTCCTTCACGATCCTCGACATGGCTTCCCTCGCGCCCGCGGCGGCGGCGGCGGCGGACAACCAGACGACGACGGCGCGTGCGCTGTACACGCCCTACCTCACGCTCGTCCTCCCGAACACCACGCTCGTCTCCGCGCTCGCGCCGCAGCCGCGCACGAGCGCGCTGAGCCCAACCGCCACGCCCGTGAGCGCCGACGATGAGAGCGCGTACCGCCGCGCACACGAGCCGCACGGTGCCAGCAGCAGCAGCGGCGCGGCGGGCGGACGACATGCCGTCGTCGACTTTGAGCGGCTCAAGTTCCGGCTCGTGTTCATCCTCTGGCCGGCCGTGGTTGGGCTCACCATGGCCATGTAGATAATCCCTTGTCCCGGACCGTCTGAGACTGGCCTATGTTTTTTTGGACAAGTTTGGACACACTACTGTATCCGTAGATTTGTATAGCATATTGTTGCGTTTCAGTTTTCACCCCCGGAACGGATCGACGATATCGATCGTCCCCCCGCCACGACGGGGGTACTATGATGGCACCCTGGTTTATAAAATTTGAGCAAATCTGCTTCTTGTAAATTACCACAACTACTCTTCGTGGGCTGTATTGAATAGATTGATGTACACACACCTTGATCACATATTCATATTTTTATTGCATTTTATTGAGGTCTTGCAAGAGCTGCGGATCCATTCCGGTGTGCAAAATAGGTCCTGCTCCCTCGTTTATTATTTTCGTCACACTAGTGTCACACCAGACGCCGTTGAGCCGTGCTGCTGCCGAGAAGCCGAGCCGTCTCTCCAAAGTCGACCTCAAGTGTCTGAGGTCAGGCGGAGCGACAAATTCATCATGCCTTGCTCGTTTATTGTAACGCTTCACTAATGTTGCTTCTCTGTACATGTATATAGCACCTTTTAAACCAAATATACCAACCAGTCATGCCTGATGTAAGTGCACAAGTTCATATTAATGCAATCTTAAGAATATTTGGTGAGCGAGATCTGATTAGATCTAGCCATCAGTAGCATTTTTCGGCCAGTTTTGAACCACTTCCGAGCCTCTACAAAAATACCATACCGTCTTTCCCCTTATGTCTGTCATGACATGGGTATCATATTATAACATGAATACAGAGCTATCTTCAAAAATATTCCCAGCACCTTCGGAGGCAGATTGAAGTGGCAAGAGCGAATTAATAAAGCAGGGAGCACTTATAAACCAGGATGCCATCATAGTATCACTGAACACTCGCGCCGCTGCAGCACTGGCGGGGCTGTTGGTACAGTACAGTATACTATGCGACGCGTCCGGGAGCAGTGATCGCGACGCTTCAGAGAAACGATAGCTTCCGTGACATTGGTTACAGAGTTCAGCGTGTACACTGTGCAGCGACAGCCTATACTGTCGTGCCTGCCTAGCGGAGAGCCCACTACTCGCCGCCCGCGGAGCTGTACCAGCACTCTGCCTGTTCTTATTCGCAGATCCTGGTATACATTTGCCCAAACGCAGTCGATAGGGAGGTCGGTGATATGATTACCGCGATAGCGGAAGAGCACAATTTCAGCATCTGCGCGAGAACGGTTCCCTCGCAATTTTTGAGGGGACGAACGCCACGCCACGACGCTTCTCGAAGTGAGCCGCGGAAGGTGTACATATCGCCAAGAATCATTAGTCGCTGGGTGCTACAAAATTAAATTACTACATCACGATACATCAATCAAAGGAAACAACATGGAGCTGTCATAAACGCGGCAAAGCCTTCGTCAAGAATCATGCATGTTAGGTATCTCTCATCCGCGAATGGGTATTACCACCGCCTCTCTTCACATCAAACGAATCGTAAAGAGGCCGTGTGCATCAAGAAAATGAATCTAGAACAGTGTTAAGCATGGCACATAGAATTGATGGGAAAAGAACGCACTGGAGCGCATGCAGTTTTGATGTGCAGCACAGAAAGAAGCTCAGACGTCCTGGGACATGCGCTGCTTCTCCTTCTCGGCAACTCCTTCGTGCGATCCACCGTCGGTCGCGGGGCTCACGCCGTATGCTTCCCCACCGCTCCTCACGGTCCTCGCGCTGCGCGCGTCCAGGAAGGACAGCACGGCAGACGTGACGCCAAAGAGCAGGGTGAACCACATGAGAATCGCAGGCAGTCTCACTGCAGGATGACGCGTCAGTTAAACATGCCCAGGTGGGGGAAACGGGGGACCACGCACAGTACTCGATGTCACGGTACCGGGTCGTCGCGCCCAGGGACGCGACGATGCCCTGGATCGTGCTCTGCGGGATCTGGACTGAACCGATGGACGCGGAGATCTGTGCAGACTTGTTCGCGAAAAAGTCGGTGAAGGGCACGAGCGTGGCGAAGAGCCAGACGGAGAGGAAGGTGAGGATGGCGCCCTGGATCTTGAGGGTGCGGCCTGCGAGGGCGGGGGCCAGGAAGATGGGGAGGAGGAAGAGGAGGGACGCGACGGCGATGAGGCCGCATGCGACGGTGACGACGTAGCCCGTGCTGAGGACGTCGCCCGTGCTGATGTGGACGACCGTGCCAGCGGGGACGGCGGCCGAGAGCGTGCGCTTCTCTTGGAGGAACTTGACGAGGGCGTTGATGCCGACGCCCAAGCCGACGACACCAAAGGCGAAAGACAGGAACAGAGAGGCAATGCGCGTGAGCTGGAGGCGTGTACGTGAAGGCATGTCGGGCTCGAGGATGTCGACGACGCGGAACGAGCTGGGGCAAGACGCAACAAGGTCCGGAGGGGGGGCAGGGGGTATTTATTAGGATGGGCAGCTTCGGACGCGGAGCTAGTTGCCCAGATTACGGCGGCGGCGTGACCGATGGAGTCATTGGACATTGGCACTTTTATATATGCGCACAGTATGACTGTGGCGGCGCAAGTAACATATGACCGCGGGCAATGGTGCTAGAAGCGGCAAGGCGCTTGCACAAGCGTCTGATCGTCGCATCCTCTTATGGAAGGTGTCGTCGTCTGCCCCCTCCGCGCCACAAAAGTCTCTCACGCTCCGATCGCAGCCGCCACAACTGCCGCTGACATCGTCCAGTACACTGTGCATGATGAGTTAATCCACCATATACCATACCAACCCGTTCGTCCTTCAAAGACTCTACATGAGCAGTCCCCAGCGTGCGGCAGTGAGCGAGCCAGTGAGGCAGGACATACAGAAACGTCCTGTGCGTCTTGGTTTCAGACCGACATACCTAGGCCATGACTATGCACCTCCGAGACAGGCCATGTCTTCTCATCCAAAACACCTCCAAAACTCGGATATCTGACCGAGTGCTCGAACCCTGACGCGTGCTGGTCGGCCATCCAACATGCAGGTAAAATTTCCCATGCCGTGCATGGGAGATGCCAGGGAACGGAGACGCATTTTTCTTTTCTCGGGTTTAGTGTACTACCTACATTGGGTGATCTACTAGCACCTGCCTACGAGGGTCCGTATGCCGCCTAGCTACCAGAGCACCTAATCCCGGCATAAGGAATCCATAGGCTTGATAATTAGTAGGCATGAGAAAGAGGACGTTGTCATCGCCCGTGTTGTGAAGGCGGGCCTGAATGATGCGTCTGTGAATCAATTGGCATACTCGTCGGAGGCTATCTCTCTGCACAGCTGTCTTCAGACAACAGCGATCGGTCCCTGGGGGGCGGTGGTCCCTCCACCGAAGCCTGAAGCTTGAAGAGTTGGACTCGGACAGCCTCAGATGGATCGTCTCGGGACGTGCGTAAAACACCTCGGGCGTCAAAGCCCCGAGACAAAGACGCGCTCTCATTGGCCAGTGATCCCTCTCGCCCAGCCAACCGAAGGTTGGCGGCGGGCGGCGCGTTCCTCTTAGTTCTCGCTCGATTTCCCTTCTCAGCTCTCTTCTCAATTTTCTCTGCCCGTGCGTAGCACGGGTCACCCTCTCGTAGTCATAACCTCACTTGTAAACCTTGTTCGCGCTACTATATTTGGTGGCTTAGTCATCACTCTCCCCAGCCCCTAGCCCCCTACTACTACGCATGTACCTATCTGTTAAGATCCCTCAGACAATAGAGCGTAGTCCAGCACTGTCGTGTGATCTTACGACGCTCGGCCTAAGTGCTGTCGGCTCGGGGCTTCAAATTGTGGTAATATCATAGACAAGATGTCACCGACCATTGACATACAGTAGAATATCTCATAATGCATAGGGCGCTTAGCGTTCGGCATCCTTCCGCTGTCTCACTTTTCGCTCAAGTACACCTGGGAGCACACGGGATGCATTTTAGTCGTTGGTCAGTATAAGGCCACCGGGCTTTTGGAAGGGATAACAAAAATCACAATTTCCTTATGATTTTTCATTTTTATGCATTATGAGATATTCTACTGTAGCAATAAAACGATATCTGTTTACGAGTCAACAGGATATGCAAGCAAGCACAATCAAGTCAAATTTCTAACGATCTAGCAGTACAGTGTTTTGCAAATAATTTGTAATTTTGGAAATGCATCCAGAGGGACGGTTGCGACCCACACGATTGCTCTAGTTGATGTTCACCCGCACATCCTCCCGCGCACTCCTCCGGACCGCATCAATCACCTTGTACACCCTCACCGCACCCTCAAACGTCGAGTACCGGCCCTCGTCGCCCTTCTCAATCTCGGCCCACGCCGCCTCAATGTTACCGGTCCAGTCGACGAGCTTCTGCTCGCACACCCACTCCTCGCCGTTGATCAGCACCTTCGTCGGGTGCCAGATCCACACAAAAGGGACCCTCGACCT